ATTTATAAGGATGAAATTAAACTGCATCTATTTCTAGGTGGCACAGTAGATAAAGAGTGCTGTACTTAGAGTCATGAAGACCTGAGTTGAAATCCTGCCTCTGACATTTACTAGCAGTGTGAACCTGGGAATGTCACTGAAATTCTGTGCTCATTTCCTCACCTGTAAATGAAGTTAATAATAGTACTTTCTTCTCAGGGTTGTTATGAGGAGCAAATAAAATTATACATGTAAAGCACTTAGTAAACTTTAAAGCAATATGCTAATAAATTCCAGGTCTAATCAAGGCCATCTCTAAAATGTTATAATGTTGAGCAAATCACATCATGCATCCTGCCCCCCTCTTACCTGCCTACGTATACTCTTCTACTAGTTGCTTCCCTAAGGCACTGCCCAGCTGGCTAATTCATGAAGAAGTGTAGTGCATTCCACTGATTTGGTGCTCAGAAGAAAAGCTTTGCTGAGTCTTAGAGCATAAAGTAACCCTCTTGAGACCCTACAGAAAAAGGAAGCTGTGTGCTACAAGGTAGTTTTTCTTCAAATAAACTTACAGGATCAGATACACTCATGAAAAAGGCTCACAATCATCACATGTACACATAAGTTACAAACACAAAGGATCATATCAACAATGTGATATGACATCTCATACTCATGTTCAATCAATCAACATTTGTGAGACGTTTATGCAACCTGTAATCTGCTAGAATTAGAGATACAAAGACATGAAATAATCTCTGCCCTCTTGGAGTACATGTATACTATAGAAGTATGCTAGGAGTAGTATCTGCCATAGAAGCTAGTTTTCTTTAAAAGGTTTTGAGACCATCTTCAAGACTAAGGGCATTTGTATAGTTGCAAGGTGGCCTAAATACAATATGCCAAAATCCAAGGGGTCAGTACCTCCTCACTCATGCTGTGAACCAACAGAACAACATGGCTGAAATAGAAGCCAGGAAACTGCACCCAAGTGAATAAATCCTGTCTCCTTGCAGGATATCCTTTCTCTGGTATGGCTGGGTAAAACTCCTTTTGTTAACTGCTACATGTTATACAAGTGTCTCATTTTGTTTCAATTCTGAAAATAAAGCACTAGTATAATAGGAGATGGAGTGCCATGTATGTAGAATAACAAGCAGGCCAATATTCGATTGCAGGGTTTATGGAAAGGAGTAATGTTGTCATAAGGCTGGAAAGGTAGATTGGGACTGCTCTGTAAAATGTACATTTCCTCCAGCTAAACTGTAAGATAAAGCAGAGCTGAGAAGTAATGGCATCTTTAGCTATAGATCCTAGGGAACTCTGAGGTGAAATGAAAACCTGGTGGGGTAAAGGAAGCAAATAATACCTTGGGCTTGCAAGTTGAGGCAGAAGGAAGTATCAATAAAATATCTTAAGAACAATGGCAATATTAAAGATGATACATTTTAAGAACACTAGGAACCTGTGATAGCTCCCAAAGTAGTAACTTGCATAATAAAAAGTGTTACAACGTAAAGGTTCTCTACAGAAGAATCCTACTAACTACATCTTGTAACAGTTCTTAGCAAACTTTATCATTAGTCAGATTTACTAAGATATAAATGACAAATATTAAGATATATTAAGACAAAATTGGAAAACAAAAGAGTTTCAAGAGAAGGGAGAGGTTAATCTAAAGTGCCTTTTACTGTGTAAGGCTTTAACAAAACTAATCATTATCTTTTTCAAACAAATTATGCTCTCCCTCATACTAACTGAAAGAACTCTAGTCTCTATTCTTCCTAAGGCTTATATAGTCAAGCTATAAATTCAAAAAGCATTTAACTCAAGGTGGATGAAATCTATTTAGTATTGATTAGACAGAAATTAGGAGTATGATCTAAGTATCATGTAAAAGAAACATCATATGGTTCTGTCCCTCTGACCATGAACTTCAGTCCTTTCATCTCTCTTCACATTTGCACTCCTGAACTTTTTTCATTCTGCTTATGATAGCCTGTCCCTTAATCCCACCTATATCTGAGGCTTGGCACATGCAAAGGCAAAAGTGGGACGATTTCTACCTTCAAGGATCAACTGAGATATCACTCCCTTCATTAAGACTTCTCTGATCCCCCCTAGACAAAAGTGTTCTGTTCCTTCTCAATTTTTTCCTAGAGTAGTTTGTATCCAGCTTTCCTTTGTTCCTATCATGCTCTACCCTTGTATTATCTGTATCTCTGTAAACAGTATCTTTTCCTTCAGTAAAAAAATTTAATTGAGGACAGGGGCTATGTAATTTTTCAACCCTGTATTTCCAACTAAGAGCAGTTTCCTGCACTTAGTAGGTGCTTAAAACTTTTTTTTAATCAACATGAGAATGATTTACAGTATATATTGGCTATGTTAAGTTATAACAGGTTTATAGTTGTATATTTACATTTAGGACATTTTTGTTCATGTTCAAATCTCTGTGGAAATCTTTTTAAAAATTGGGTTGTGAAAAGTATCAACTTGAAAAAGGGGTAAAAAACTAAAGTTTCCTCTAGAGACAAAAATAATGATTACTCTTATGTCAATGTAATTTAATTACTGTGTATGTTACATATTTTTTAAAAAAACACATTTAGTGCACTTAGTTACTTGTAGAAGATGTGAAACATATTTCAGTAGATCCATGATTTTACTGATAAAGGCCCTCTCTGCACCAATACAGACTAAACCCTTTCCAAACTGTAGCAGTTTCAATCAGTTGTGGCCAGAAAAATCCTTGAAGTGTTCAACCTGAGCGACTCCCCATTTACCTAGATTTGTCCTCGTCTCTGGGACTATATTCAAAATGTTTCCAGTTGGCCTCCACTGACATAACCTTTGAAAACCCAAGGAGTTGGATTTTAGTAAAAACACATGGAATAGTTTGCAGAACATCTCTAAGTTTGCTCATTCTGAGAAGATCTCTAGCTCAAATGAATAAAAAATGTTACATAAGTTCACTGTCAACGTCTTAGATAAAGAGAATAATCAAACATTTATTTCAGAGCACAGAAAGGTATGGCAACAAAGACTGTAAACTCCTGAAGGTCAGATTATCATACTTCATCTTTCTATTTCTAGGCACCTAGCACAACAACTAGCACCTATCCAATTCAGACCTAAAATTTCATCCATGCAGGGAGGTTCCAAAAAGGAAAATTCTCTCCTTGAACCAAAACTGACAAGTAATTTTTTTAGCTACTTAAAAGTCTTAGAAGGTTGCCTGAGGCAATGAGACAGAATCACACAACCAGTACCAGTCAGACACAAGACTTGAACCCAGGTCTTTCCAAACTGTGCGGTCAGTTCTTTATCCTGCCTCTCTGGTACAAAACAAGCCTTAATAAATATTCAAAGATTTCCAGAGCAAGAGCTGGTAGGGGCCTCAGTACAATCGCCTAACTTTACATGGCAGGTAAAAGATGCCCAGGGAGATTGTGAATTGCCAAAGGTGACAAAGGTACTAAGCAGCAGAAGGATTTTAACCCAGGTCCTCTGATTCCAAAGCTCTTTCAATTGAACCAATAAAATGTAAACCACTAGTCCCCTCAGAATAGTACTGCACTTCAAAATGCACATTTAAAAATAAACCTCAGTTGTTAAACACTATTATTATTGTTATAATTATATAAATATTTTCTGAGATTTCTACATTTTCATGAGAAACTTGATACCTGACTAGTTCTGTCACTGAAGTTTCGATAAGTCCTCATAATAAGATAAACAAGTATTTCTCTGAACATGAATGTGGAATCCTACCTTGAAGAATCACTCAGTATCCTGTCCTTTGGGTCTATTCAGCTTTCCCTCCAGAGACTATCAGTAAGATTACAGAATTATGTTTAAAGAGTGTGGGCTAAGACAACTATCACACGGTGAACCTGTGCCCATCATTTCTAAGTGGCCACAAGACAATTTCCCTGAAGAAAGACAGCTCTGTCTATAGCAGGGTCTCTTAAAGCTAGTCAGTCATCTTGTTTTTTAAAAAATATTTTGATAACTACATTTTTCAGATAATTGGCTTTTTTGGAAATCTTACTTCATGTATTTTAAAGATATTATCTGAAAAGGGGTCTGTCCATATGCCCTAAAAGGAGTCCATGACTCACACAAAAGGTTAAGAAACTCTGATCTAAATTAATGATGCTACCCGAGGAAAGCCAGTTTCACACATCTTTGGCTAATGCTCTACGAAAAAGAACTGCCCGAGTTTCTGAGAGAATATTAATGACAACTGGACCACTTAGAAGAACAAGATGAAATACAACTTAAAAATCAAACATACCCCTACTGCTACATCACCTGATGCAGACAAAGGTCCTGGCTTCGGTAGGTTACCTGTGCTGGGAAGTGATAGACAGCGATCCCCAGTGGGTTCTCTAATCAATTTGCACGTATTAATAATTGCTAACATTTACATAACACTTTACGATTTGCAAAGTGCTTTACATATATTCGCACTCGATCTTCACTAGAACTCTGAAAAGTAGATGCTATTATTACCCCATTTACAGATGAGGAAACTGAGGCAGACGCGGGTTCAGTGACTGACTCGCCCTACGTCACAGCGAGGAAGCGTCTGAGGCCGCGCTGGAACTCAGGTCTCCCGGGCTCGAGGCCTGGAGCGCTAGCCACTACGCCACCCGCTGCCCGCGAAGTGCCCACCGCGCGCCGGGCACGGAGCCGGGGCCCCGGAGCGGGCCAGCTCGGTCCGAGCGTCCAAGCCGCCCGCCCCGGCCTCGGGTCCGCCTTCGCCCGCTCACTTACCATCGTTCTCGTCGCTGTGCCGCCGCCGCGACATGCTGTCGGCCGCCCGCGCGCCCTCCGCCTCCGCGGCCCTGCTCCCGCCTCCGCGGCCGCCGGCGATCGCAGAAACTGCGCGCCGTTCCCTTCACCGCGTCGGGGAGAGGCGGAAGCGGCGATGGAGGGGCCGGCTAGGCGGCGCAGCGAGGGCTCGGAGCGACGCGGAGAGCCGCGGCCGGCCGCAGCGCAGACGCACACGCACGCTGGATCTCGCGCGAGCGAGGCGGGGGCGGAGGGGAACCTCCCGTTTCCACCGTCACTGGGACGTCCCGTAAGGGTCTCGGGAGGAGGGGCGGGTGGCGTTGTGTGTGAGGACGCCGGACGAGGTTGGGGGAGCCTGAAGCGGGCGAGCCCAAGGGGCAACCTAACAAGGCCGCGGAGCGAGCTTCCGCTGCCCTCTCTCTCCCCTTCCACCCTCACGCTCCTCGCGCTCAGTCTTCTTCCGGGAGAAAAGTAAGCGGGGAAAGCCAATTCCTAAAGCCTCGGTCCCGGCCGGGCTGGCGTGCGTCTTAAGGAAAAGGCGGGGAAATGGGAAGGGAGTCGAGTAGGAAGGAGTCTCGGCGAGATCCTAACCCGCCCCGAGCTGAGGCGTTGACGCTCTAGGCCTCGCGTCGCTACTCCTTCTGTGCAACTCGATGGTTCTCCCGACTGCCCTTGCGCTTACTGGACGTAGACGATTTCTGGACTGAGGGACCGTCTCTAAAGTACTGGTCGGGGGAAGAAACGAGACCTCGGAGGGGGCTCAGGGGACTGTGTGTTGCGGTGGTTGCTAGGAGAGAAGGGTCCGCGGGTGGAAGCCCCTGCAGAGGATTGGAGCAGTGCAGGTATGTACTTCTTTCAGCCTTTCCTTTTGCTGTCGACCTCCCCGGTGTCCCATTGACTGCCCCTGGACACCCCGCCCCCCGGGGTGTGTGCGCGTGGCCGGTGATGGACCCCGGGGGCACGAGGACCAGGTGCTCGCCTGGCATTACCCGGGTCTCCGACCCCACGTGGGCCGGGAATCCTGCCCCTGATGACAATAACTGACATCGCTATCCCGCCTGGAGCTTTGCAAACTGCTCCAAGCCCATCTGCTCCTTCCACTCATTGCAAGGTGGGGATTATTAAACCCTGTTTTACAGAGGAGCAAACTGAGGCTGCGAGGGCGGTTGTTGAGTTTTTCCAAAAGTCCTGGAACAAAACTGGAGTTTGAACCCAATGCTTCCCTCCCGTCCACCCCTTATGTGCCCATATGAATGGGCGGGTGGTTTGGGGGAAAGCAAGTGCACTTAGGATAATTTTAAGCAGAGCAAGGGGAGATTTCTCCAGCACAGAGACCCTATGGATGGTGAGATTTCCAGGCGCTCTTGTTTTTCGGTCAAACCCAAGAAAAGTCCACCGGAAGACGGACTTAACCACTTAAAGACATTTAGCCTGGCTGTTAAACCAAGAAAAATCAAGTGAGCACGATGTGCGGTTGGACAGAGAACTCACCCAACAGCATTTATCCTTTGGACAGAGTCTACATGGACAGTGAGTTGGGCCCAGAATTAAATAGGAGAGTCTTCAGAGCTTTGTAAAACCCCTTTAATGAACCTTAACAAAGTCCCCATCTTCTTAAATATCATTTTAACAGGTATAGTGATATGGCTGGGATACCTGGCATACAGTTTTGAAGAATTTAAAATGACTGTGAACAAAAAAGGTAATGGAAAGTCCAAGATATGTGTGAGCCAGCAGCAACTTATAACAAACGATGAACTTTAAAAAACTGGAGTGAGAATGTCATCAAGAGAAAAAAAAAAGACTCGTCAAATGGTGGATAGCCTGAGTGCTCTCTTTTGGTATTCTCCGGCATTCTAGAGAAGAAGAATATTGCATATGTTGGGTGAAAACTGGCACCTAGATGGCTCAGTGGATAGAGCACTGAGCCTGAAGTCAGAAAGACCTGAGTTCAAATGTGGCCTCAGACACTTATTAGCCACGTGACCCTGGGCAAGTCACTTAACTTGTTTGCCTTCTACTGGAGAAGGATATGGTAAACCACTCAAGTTTTTTTTATCAGGAAATCCCTGTAGACGATATAGTCCATTGGTTACGAGGAGTAGGGCACAACTGAATGATTAACAACATGAACAACAGTCATATATCTTGGGGTAGGCATGGATGAATTGTGATACTTATTCTTGAAGAAAATATCCAAAATGATGAAATTACAGATCCATTTTAGTATTTTGAGTAGGGTGGGATCACAGGGTTAGAGCTGTAAAGTACCACAGATATCTTTTTGTCCAGCCCTCTTATTTTACAGATGAGAAAATAGGCGTAGGTTCCAGTAGTAAGTGGCAGGGGCTGGATTTGGATCCAGGTCCATTGACTCCAAAGTGTTCTTTCTGTTGCACCACGCTGCATAGACTTAGTCTTAAAAATTCCTTGATATCATATCAAAATTAAGTACTGTACCTGCTGTAGTCCAGATAGTGCTGTTCTGTCTTTGCTCTGGATGATGTGACTGGGTCTTGATGCTGCCTCTCCTGTCTTTGATAAAGAAATTACCTGGGACAAGGCTTGTTAAATAAAATTCTACAATCCTGGCCAGGGATCTCCCAGTCCCTGAATCTTGAGACTAGACCCCACATTGGCTTCATTTCTGGAGAAGCCCTGACTGGTTGGCTTCATGTACATATTTAAGGGCAAGTAAGCAGGCTTCCCTCTCCCTCTTTTTCACCAGGTTCCTCCCCCTTTGGGCCCTTCAGTAAGACCTATTAAAAAAATCTCTTTTGGTTCCTTGCTGGTTAGTGCCCAGCTCTCTTGGTTTTTTTTTCCCACCTCCCTTCAGTTTGACCTCCTGGTCACCAAGATTCCCAGCTAGGTGGATCCCAGACCCGTCCCCCTAACAGTCTATCTTCCCCTTCTTTCTGTCAGGTTTGCCTGTAAGCAACCAGGCCTGTTTCCTCTCAGGTAAAACTTCCATTACAGGCTTTTTACTAACCTCTTGTTTTGAAGTGAAGATGCTGTTTTAGCTCTCTTTTGTCATCATCACCAACAAATTGTTCCTTTTTGTGTGTGTGTGTGTGTGTGTGTGCAAAAAGCAGCTTGAAGGACTACTTTAAGTCCTGCTAACATCCTCGTAGGAAATTCAGACATTTCATCCTACTGGATTTTGGGAGCTTTTTTTTTTTAAACCAGACCTATAATTTCATTGGTATAGGGGATTATAGAGGGGGAAACTCCCTCTAGCAGTACAAATTGGGACCTGTTCTTTGGCTTACAGCTGAGAGAATTGTGTGCAGTTAAAACTAATTTTTAGAGAAACCTTGCATTACTTTAATAATTACATATTAATAGTAATTATTTTAGTATTTGTTGAGCACCTCTTGTGTGCTAAGGGTGTAAGATAATAGATTTAGGGTTGAAATAGACCTTAGATGTCACTAATTCCAATCCTGTCCCTTTATTTTATGGATAAGCATACTGAGTGTAGAGAGGTTGAGTGACTTGCCTAGGGTCCCACAGCTTGTATATGTCAAAGTCAATGCTTAAGAAAAAGTTATCTCTAAATCCAAGGCTCACTTTATCTACTGCTCCATTTTATGTACTACCCTACATTGCTTCTCTTTCATATAAATGTACATACGCAGGTATGTGTGAATGTGCATATATATATATATATATATATATATATATATGCAAATGCTGTGGTGATTTGAATGTAGACTGTAATTTTTTTCCCTAAATCTAATTTATATAAAATCTGAGTACCATATACAGTCTTCCTCACTTAGTATTATAGGCACACTATAAGCTTCAGTGTCCTCTCGAGCAGAAGCAGAAACAGCAGCTTCACTACTGGCTGCAGGGTATGCTGAAGGAGTCTATGCTCTAAGTCCCTAGAGCAAGATAAGGGAGGCAGATTACTCTCACTTGCAGTCTCCAAATTGGTAAAATCCTTGCCCCCATTCTCTTAGAGATAGAAATGTTATAGCAAAGCCCAGAAAGACAGTAAAGGTGAAAGGGAAAGAGAAGCAAGGAAGGAGATCATGTCGTAAGTGCTTACCGTATACTAAGCTCTGGTAATAGAAATAGAAAAGTGAGATAGTCTCTGTTCTCAAAGAGTTCACATTTTAGTAGGTGGAAACATCTTTTAGGAAAGTACACCTCCAGGACAGATGGAAAAGCTCTGTGGTTCTTAGTGTGCAGTAGCAAAAGCAATAGTAATGCTTCTTTTTTAGATTTATTTTCATTGACACAACCATATATTTCTGATGTTAAACAGTGCCAGGGACTTTGGGTGGCATGCACTTTCTTTTCTGGGACTTCAGTAGCTATGACTGCTGAAGAGGCAGGACAGCAGCATCTCCAGAGGCAGTTGCCCAGTCAGATCTCCACAAGGGTTATTCCCATGGGTAATGGTGGACCAGGCTGGAAGCATAATTAGTGACCTGGAGATGGAAGGGGACAGTTATTCTAGAGGCTTCCAGGCACAGGGTCCTGAGCTGCCTCTACCAGGGTCAGAGGAGAGGTGGTAGGGTCAACCTACTTGTCACATTTTGTGTCTCGGCTCTTCTACTGGATTTGGAAGTTAAATGATCAGGTTCAAATCTTGGTCCTGCTACTTACTGGTTAGTGTAAGGGGTCCTTCCAACTTTCAAATTCTGTGATTCTTGTCCTTCCCTCTCCCACATCCTAGAGAGGGCCACTAGAGGTCCCCCGCCATAAAGAGTTTGTGCTTCATCTTGCTTTAGCCCTGTGTCACTGAACAGAAAAATAGACTGGGGAGAGCTGGCTGGTAAAGAATGAACAGGGAGTCAGAGGTGGTCGATTTTATGGATTAGTGGGGTTTCTTAGCCTTGTAGCTAAACTCAGTGCTACCCATAGAGTAATTTGCATAAGGGGAGTATGTGAATGAGGAGACAGGATGTGATGGTGGCCCATTAACCCTAATCTAAGCCCTGAGAAGCCTATTGAAATTCTGAGGCCCAGGTCCTCTCTGTTTCTAAAACAGGATAGTGATGAGGAATAATTATCTTTCAGTGTATGTGTATTCAGGAATACATGTCTTTATGTAAGTAGATACTATTTTTCTTTAGAAGAAATATAATTTTAGGAGTCACGGGATCATAGTTTTAAAAGTAGAAGAGACTTTGGAGGGCATCTAGCCCTCCTACCCCCTTATTTTACAGAGGCCAGAGAGGGTAAGTGACTAAGATTACTAAGATTTGAAACCAGGTCCTTTGACTCAAGGCCAGCACTCTTTCATGTGAAATTGGTTTTTTAAAAATTGAATGAGGTTAGTTGTATAAGAAGAATACAGAAAGCTGAGAACTCAGAAGAGGGAGAGACTCCTCACTTAGGAAATAAGGCGTGAAGGAGGAGATGGCATTTGAACTGGACCTTGAAGGAGTGATAAGAGAGCAATGGAAGAAAAGGGGTTAGGGGTTGGAGGATATTCTAGACATAGGGAATTAAAAAGGTACAGATATAGAAAAGGAAAATGTGATACACTTGTGGTTACAGTCCATATTCTAACTAATAACATGTAAGTATCATTTTTGTGTTATAGATAAATATTTTGAATGTATATTATATTAAGCACAGTTCTAAGGTAATAAATATTTTTTCATTTATTCATATACATCATACAGGATCATAGACATTAGAGCTAGAAAAGACCTTAGAGATTCTGATTTAATTGAAGGAAGGCTGGATTTGCAGTCAGAGGACCTGTGTTCAAATCTCAGTCCTGCCACTTACTGTCTCTGTAGCTGTGGGCAAGTCACTTAACTTGTCTGTATTAAGGTTTCCTCATCTGTAAAATTAGGGGGTTGGACTATACGGCCCCTAATGTCACAGGTGGCACAGTGGATGAAGCGCTAGGCCTGGAGTCAGGAAGACTTGAGTTCAAATCAGTCCTTAGACACTTACTAGTTGTGTGACCCTGGGCAAGTCACCTAACCCTGTTTGCCTCAGTTTCCTCATTTGAAAAATGAGCTGGAGAAGGAAATGGCAGACCACTCCAGTATCTTTGCTAAGAAAACCCCAAATTGATTCCTTAAGAGTCAGATGTGAATGCAATGACTAACAACAAAGATCACTTCTAGCTTTTGTTGTGTAATCTTTTGATCATTTAGTCTGGTTCCTTCATTTTACAAATAAGGAAACTGAGACTTCAAGAGGTTGGGTAACTCAAATAATATTCAGACCCAGGTCTTTTGATCCTAAGACTCTTTCCATAACACTACACTGACTCTCATATTTATGTACATAAATATAGATCACATAGATTACAAGCACAACAGGTGTTTAGTATTACGTTCTCTCTATGTCTTCGTCATTATTTTGTTCTATGGATACATATCAATGTCACAGTGGGTGCTTAAGAGCATGGTTCACTAGTCTTCACTCTGCCTCTTTCTCCATATGTGTGTATGTGTGTGTATTGTGTATGTGTGTGCCTATATGTGTATGCATATATTTGTGTGTGTATGCATGCATATAAATAGACCTGCACACAATAAATTAGAATACAGGAGAAAAAAACAAGTTGGACAAAATGTATTAAGGCGTTTTGTTCAGCCCTACTAGCAGACATAACCAGGCACTTGGCTTGGAAGCATGCTGTGCAGGACAGTGTTACCACTTTCAATCAAGTTGATATAATGGCATTGATAACTAGTAGTTTCTGGATGATCCTTTCCATTTTTCATTTATTCAGATAGATTGATTTTTCAATTAATTTATTCAAGTACATATTCTATTCTTGAAATAACGTCCTTCTTTAGGTCCCAGCAATAGGCACTCAGTAACTGATTTGATGATGGTAACAAAGTTTCTGACAAATTATGTTATTGGAATGTATTCATTTTATTAATAGAGACAGTGTTATAATTGGCAAGGTGGGAGGTGGGAGAAGCACGAGATTTAAAAACAAGGCCTGTGTTCACATCTTGACTTTGCCATCCTGGCTCTGTGACCTTGGAGAAGTCACTTAACCTCTTTGGACCTCAGTTTCCTTAGCTGTAAGATGAGGATAGTTTACCTATTTTACAGGATTGTTGTGAGAAAAAGCACTTTGCAAATTGTAAAGTATAAAGGAAAGCTATGGGTTCCCCCCCCCCATTTAACAAATCTCTTCAGAAGTTTATGTTTATTTAGCAGTCAATCTTTTGAAAATGTTATTTGTTTAATGGGGAATTCATGCAGATTACTGGTATTTGAATACCTATACAGTAGTAAAGTTTGATATGTTTTACAAAAACATAGAATGCTAGGGTGCTTAGTAAAGTTACAGGTTGGATTTCTTTCTGAGTTTAAATAGCTCACATTGACATGGTGTTTTATTGTTTACAAAATGCTTTATTCACACAAACACTCTACAAGTATTATATCAGTTTTTCAAGTGAATTTAGAATATAAAAACTATTGCTTTGTATCTAAACTTTGTTAAAATGGAAGGTTATTGATACTCTGTATAAAAGGAAGAGTTACAGTCTTTTAAAAATAAATTTTAATTTAAAGCAAATGTTATTTGTAAATTGTATTTGTAAATGCAAAAATAACAAAATATGGTTCTAGAGTAATGTACCTGAGAGGGCAAATTCTGCTTTTCCTTCCTTCTGTAATTAAAATTTGACCTGTTTTTAAAATGTTGAACTGGTGATATGATGCTTTGTAAATTATTGTACCTATACAAATTAAGCTAACTTGTTGTCATAGTCATTCAGAAAATAATTTCTCTTGCTTCAAGACATTTTGTTAACATATAAGGTATAGATTTCCACAGAGAAACTCATGGAACTTCACTTTGTTATTATCTTGAGGTCATTGTCCTATTATTTTTCAGTCTCCACCCATCTAAACATCACCAGCCAGGAAGTGCTTTGCTCTGCCTTATATGTAGTTATCCCTTCCGCATCGTGACTTTCCCCATTGCAGTTTCTATATATCATGGTTCAGAATGAGCGATTAAGTGGGATTTTGGGGGAGTTTTGTGGAATCTGCAATGGGAAGCCCAGCAGATGACACAGAAAAAGCTTAGAAACTCAGAAATGCATAAAATATATTTGTAGTATTGTGTAACAGCAACATAGTTTATCTTTTAATACCATAATAATTCAGAATTCTCAGGTAGGAAGGAAGGGTCCCAACCTCGTGATGTGGAACGGATAAGTGTACATGCAAGTTTTCAACTTGAACCCCTGGCATGATCTTTAAATACCATAGAAAGGCATAGGAAATTTTCCTCTCACCACATCTTCAAGTCGGAAGATGATCACTTGTCATTTTTCACAGAATCTGAAATTAAGACAGAATTGTCTAATGTAGATCTCAGCTTTACTAAAATTGCTTAGTTTGGGTAGATATGGTAGTTTACCAAGTAACCCATGCCACTAATACAACATTTTAAAAAAACACATCTGATTTTATTGGCTATCATATTTAAATATAATTACAGGGAAAAAGATAATATCCTCTTCTAATTTATTACTGTGTTTGCACAAAAGTTGCTTTTTATTTTAAAAAGTTTTAAAAGAGTGCTATGTAACAATATGCTGCCATAATCATTCTATTCCGCAAAGGTTTTATACAACTTAGCTATTTTGATGTCCTTTTAAGCTCTTTAAAATGCAATTCAACCCACCATTTTCTTAGTGTATTATGTTGTGTCTGGGTAGAACATTCAGTATTGGTGCCCATTCTTTGTGTTACCTAGGTGGAATAGTAGAAAGAGCACTGGACTTAGAGTCAGGAAGACCTGAATTCAAATCCTTCCTCAGACACTTACTACCTTTGTGACTGTGGGCAAATCACTTAAATTCTCTCTTGACATACTGTGAGCTTGTGTGTGTGTGTGTGTATGAGAGAGAGAGAGAGAGATGAATAAATGCTAGTTACTATTATTCCCCAAAGGAAGCAAGCATAAGAAGCCGAGAGTAGGAAATTAAAGAAGGCTGCCTGGCACAGTATCTTATACATAGCAAGTGCCTGATAAATGTTTAGTAACGTGAATTCATCAATAAACTTTTACTTACCCACCAATGAAGTTTTTTTTGTTTGTTTTGCTTTTTTTTTTAAACTCTCCCCAAATTCTTTCGAGGTTCTAGATCAGTGATGAGGGACCTGTGGCCTCAAGGCCACTTGTGACCTTCTGGGTCCTTGGGTGTGCCCTTTTGACTGAGCCCAAGTATTACAGAACAAATCCTTTTTATTAAGGGGATTTGTTCTGTGAAGTTTGGATTCAGTCAAAAGGCCGCACTTGAGGACCTAGAGGGCCACGTGTGGCCTCGAGGCCACAGGTTCCCCAGCCCTGGCCTAGTTTACTGCTAATTTGTATAGCTGGTTATTGTTGGATTTTCCTGTTGGTCTTTAATATTCGTCTTTCTCCTTTCCCTATTTAACAGGTAGTGCAGTAAAACAATGATGCCTTCTTCTATGCTACCAGCACAAGGAGATGACCTGGATTACTGTATATTAAGATTTCCAGACCTGGATTTGAAAGATACAAACCTTGTTTCTCCTAGTAGCAGTCTCAGAGCAGAATTAGATGCTAATATGAGGAAGAAGTATGCACATGCAAAGAAAAAGGTAAAAATACTCTCACTGTATTATGTATGGTTACACAAATAAATCCAGCAGCAGCTCTTCTGTGCCATCGCAATCAGCCTTTAGTGTTCTTTTTAAATACTCATGACAGCACACTAAGCTTTGCAAATACATTTCAGAAATTGTCAAGGTACAGCAATTGTTTAATTCTTAACATTTTCATTGACCTCATCTTTTAATTCAATTAAATAATAGGTGTCTTAAGAACAGGGACTTTTTGTTTCTTGTTTGTTGTTTTTTGTTTTTGACTCTTTACCCAGTCACTGGTTACATTACCTTGAACATAATGCTTAATAAATGTTTTGGGGTTTTTTGAACCAGATTTGTGATTTCATTGGATCTGGGAACTCCTGGTGAGGAAACTCTCTCTCTACCAATGCAGATCAGCACCTAATTTCAATTAAAAGTCTTAGGTACCTGGGAGCATTGGGATATTGGTATTGACTTGTCCAGGGTCACACAGTTAGCATATGTCAGAGGTAGGACTTATACCGAGGTATTCCTGACTCTGAAATGGGCTTTCTATCCAATATATTTAACAACCTCAAATTGATGTTGGTTGTTGTTAATTTAATGATGTCCCTTTTTTGCTGCCCATATTTCTTCTTCTGTTATCTCCATTTCCTAGACTGAGAAATAATTTTATCTGCTTATAGCAACAGTTTTCCTGCCTAGTGATTTCCATGAAAGTCATACTCAGAGGAATTTAAAAGGAGAAACAATAGGTTAAATATAATGTAGGCGAAGACTTGATTTTAATTTAAGCCACAGTAATTCCTTTTTTGCCCCTGTTACTATAAGCCAGCATTTATTTTCTTGGGTAGTAATAACTTACTTTCATGTTGTATTAGATGATTTGATTTTCACAATCCTGTGAGAGAGTGTAAGAATTCTTATCACTACTTTACAAATGAGGGAACTGAGACTCAGCATATTTAGACTTGTCTAAAGATATTTAGACTATTTAGACTTGTTGAAAATGATGCATTAATGGACAGAATCAGTATTTTCAATTTCTGGCTTTGTCCCTCACTGTGTAACAGAAATCAAGTCCACTGCTCTTTCCATTATACCACACCGACTTTTTAAAAGTTTAACTTTTTTGGTTACATTTTAAGTCCCTCCTGCACTAAAGAAAGCCACTATTTCACACATACACAAAGTGCAGAGTGGGGAGAGAGGGAGAAAGGGAAACAGTTAGGAATTTCAAATGTAACAAAAAAAAAACATATACATACACACACACATATTGGGGGATGGGGTGTAAAACCATGCTATGTTTACTTATATTTATCAGTTTTCTGGAAGTAGTATCTTCCTTCATACGTCCTTTATAATTGATTTGAGTGTTTATAATACACAGAATAACTTAGTCATCCACAGTTGTTTTTCAAACAATATTGCTGTTACTGTATACAACATTCTCTTGGTTCTTTTCATTTCATTCTTTATTATTTCATGTAAGCCTTTCCATGTTTTTCTGAAATCAACCAGCACATCATTTCTTACATCACATTAGTATTCCATCATAATCATATATCACAATTTGTTTAGCCATTTCCCAGTCGATGGGCATTCACTCAGTTTCCAGTTCCTTGCCACCACAAAGAGAGCTGCTATAAACATTTTAGAACATGTACGTGCTTTTCCTTTTTCCTTGATCACTTTGGGAAACAGACCTAATAGTAGTATTGTTGGGTCAAAAGGTATACACAGTTTTACAACTCTTTGGGCATAATTCCAAATTGCTCTCCAAAATGATTGCCTCAATTCACAGTTCTACCAATAGTGTATTAGCATTCCAATTTTTCCACATCACCTACAACATATTTCATTTCCTACTTCTCTCATTTTAGCCAGTCCGATAGGTATGAGATGATAGCCCAAAGTTGTTTTAATTTGCATTTCCCTAATAAGCAATGATTTAAAACATTTTTTTGGTACAAGTGTGCATAGCTTTGATTTCTTCTCAGAAAACTACCTGTACATATCCTTTGACCATTTATCAATTGGGGAATGACTCATATTCTTATAAATTTGATAAAGTTCTCTATATATTTGAGCTATCAGACCTTTATCCAAGAAACTCTATAAAAATTTCCCCCCAGTTTTCAGCTTTCCTTCTAATCTTGGCTATATTGGTTTTATTTATACAAAACCTTTTTAATTTATTGTAATCAAAATTATCCATTTTATATCTCACAATGCTCTCTTTCTCTTGTTTATTCATAAATTGTTCTCCCATCCATAAGTCTGATAAGTAGAATGTTCCATGTTGTTCTAATTTTCTTGTGATAGCTCACTTTATATCTAGGTCATATATCCTTTTTGACCTTATCTTGGTAAATGGTGTAAGGTGTTGGTCTATACCCATTTTCTGCCAGACTGCTTTCCAAGTTTCCCAACCATTTTTTACCACATAGTGAATTCTTATCCCCAAAGCTTGAATCTTTATATTTGCCAAACACGAGGTTACTGTAATCATTTACTACTATGTATTTGATGTCTACTCTGTTCCACTGATCCACCTTTCTATTTCTTAGCCAATACCCGATAAATTTGATAATTACTGCCTTAAAATATGGTTTAAAATCTGGTGCTATTAAACCTCTTTCCTTTACATTATTTTTTCATTAATTCCTTTGATATACTTGACCTTTTGTTTTTCCAAATGCATTTTATTATTACATACTTTTACCCATATTGTACAAGTGTTTTTTTAGATAAGGAAAACTTAGTTATTAATAAAGAAACTGTTCCATGCTACTTGAAGCAGCATTTCTATAGAATTTTAAAACTAGGAAGAACATATAGTCTATAGTTGGAGAAACAAAGGCCCAGAGAAGTTCAGTAATTTGACTTGGAACTTAAAGCAGAAGTCCTAGACAAAAGGACTTTATAGAAGTTAACCCTTCATACTAAAACCTTAGGTTCTTCACAACTTTGTCCTAGTAATAAGAAGGCTAACTGATGCTGTTTCTAATATGTTACAGGCATTTGCCCTTTTGGTCAAAACAAAGGAAATTCCAGAACCTACCAACTGCTCTTCATCTCTCTGCAAAGGAGTGTGGTGGACGTGCTGCCAGCAGATCTTCAAAGACCAAATTGGCATCCACAGACATATAGCTGCCCAGCATGCAGGAGATGTTTATCATCAGACCTCTTCTGTTTTAAAGCAACTGGCTGCTGAGGCTGGCACCCCCAAGCCCTGTGTGTCTGCAGACAAGACAAATGGATTAAATGTGCCTCCTACCTCTAACCATTTAGTGGCTGTTGACTTTCCAGACACAAGCTGCTTTAAACTTGATGAACTGATGAGGTTAGATTTTCTTTATTTATTTTGAATTTTTTTAATCTATCCAGTCATCTCAGTAACTGTCACCTACTTAAAATGGTAGATCTTTAGATATTTTCAGATATACTTACATACAACATCTGGCATGGTTGTCATATACTGTAGATACTGTAACTTGCTCTTTTAAGCATAAAACCCCTTTCAAACAGTCATATTTGATGGAATTATTTCTCACACATATTGCATATTGAACACATGGTTTTTAGAGCATACTGGACATAATTTAACTTTTTTTGTTAGGTTACCGTGCTATAATATACTGATATCCTTGGAATATTGAGATATATAGAGCTGACATTGTATCCTCTTACTCAGTATTTTACCCACCTCCTAACCTTTTCCCTTGTTTTCCTGAGCTGCTTCAAACTCAGAAGTAGTTTTCCCCTTATTCTTCTCCCAACAAAATAAGAAGGCATCTTTGGCAGTGAAGAAGAATAAAAACAAGTCTAGGCAAAGACCTGAAATTATGCCTGATGGACTGGTCACTTTACCTCCTGGAAGTTAGAAAATTATTCTGGTTGCCTGGTGTCTTCCAGCCTTCTTGCCAGAAAGCCAAGAAGCGTGAAACAAGTACTAGGAAACAGGAGGAGCCTAGAAAAGGGAACAGCGGAGATCAGAGGTAGCAGCAGTGCTGGTGATAAGGAGTGTGGCAACGCCAGTGTCAAACAACAGACACTCTTTTTTGGAGAAGAGAGTTAGTGATGAAGTAGGCAGGACAGGTTCTCTGGCTGCAGACTCACTTCAGTTTTCAGTTCAATATAACAAATATTTGCTATGTCCAAGGCATGGGGCAGCTCATGTGTGACACAAACCAAGGGAATCCAAGACTAATAAGTTGTCAGCTCTGTGAGGGCTAAAACTGTGTATTACTTATTCTGGGGGGCTTCCCCAGTGCTAAGCACCATGTTCTGCACTTGGTAAGCACTGAATACACTTAACAGGGAGAAAGGGGTAAGAAAGAGACCTGTTGTTTTTTCCTGGGGGACAGCAGGGGGCAGCAGAGTACCTTACCTGAGACCAAAATAATCTCTAAGGTAAACTAGGTCATGGTACCTAGATGGTTCAGGGAAGCAAGGACTAGGGAATTTATTAGATTAAGTAGCACCAATTAATCAGAGCAGAAGGAAATGCAGAGACTGGCATAGTTGTGAATCTAGAGCAGGCAAATATTTGAAAACTAAAGGACAGTCAAAGGTAAATTTGACACTGACAGATATAGACTTTTTTGTGACCTTAACGAATCATTGTCATCGTCGTCGTCATCATCATCATCATCACGTTATAGATATGGGGGTGGAAGCATTAGAGAATCTTAGAGGTCATCAGATCCAACCTCGTTTTTTAAAGATGAGGACACTGAAACCTAGAGAGATTAAATTATGTACCCAGAGTCACAGCTAACAAGTACTGATGCAGAGATTTGAGCCTATTTTTTTCTGATTCCTGGTCCAGCAGCACCCTATCACAGCTTCTTCTGTCTCCACTATCTCCAGTATTGGGTTAGAATAATAATAACTGTCACTTGTTACCACTTAAAAGCTCACAAAGCCCTTTAAATATGTTTTCTCATTTGGTCATCAGAACAACCCTGTGAGGTAAGTAACACTGGTTTCATCATCTCTATTTCATAAATGAGGAGACTCAAGCTGAGAGTAGTCAGATGATTTACTCGTATTTGCAGTGTCAGAAGCAAGATTTGATCTCACGATTTTCCTAACTTACGTCCAGTGCTGCTGACCCTATAACTCACTGCTTCCCCTACAGTAGTCATAGGACATTTCTACTCTAGTGTGCATGAGACTAATGGTTAACTACACTAAAACAAATGCTCAGACCTTGATAGTAGTCATAATAATCACTTTAAAGTTAAAAAAAATTTCACATGCATTTTCTTACTTAAGCATTCCTTCATTTGTTTTTTCCTACTACGTAAGTACCTACTAGGTAAAAAAAAAAAAAAAGAATAAGAAGGGAGAAGAAATATTTTGTTGTTCAGCCGTTTCAGTCGTATCTGACTCTTCATGACCCCATTTGGGGTTTTCTTGGCAAACATACTGGAGTGGTTTGCCATTTCTTTCTCTAGTTTATTTTACAGATGAGGAAACTGAAGTAAACAGGGTTCCATGACCTGCCCAGGGTCACACAGCTAGTGAATGTCTGAAGCCAAATTTGAACTCAGGTCTTTCTGACACTGGGCCTGGCGCTCTATCCACTGCACCACTTAGCTGCCCCAGAGGAAATATTAGAAGGGGTCTTTCTGTGTTGTGGTTGTTTTCTTGATTTTGCTAGCAGTAAAAATATTTCAATAGCCTCAGGGCCAGAATATCTGAAGGGAAGCTTTGAGACTCTTCTCTTTTCATAGAGAGCCAAGAAGGACCAATCTTGAGAAGCACGAGCCAGGGACAATGAAAAAAAAAAGAGGCCAAATTGTGGGGCTCCCAGAGAAAAACAAAATAACTGGAGGACCTGTTCAGGACTCAGAAGTGTCATTTGGACATTTGGACTGGGAGAACGTGCCATTCCTCCCTAATTGTCTGTCACCCTCATCCTCTGCCGGCTGTTTCTTTCCTGTTGACCAGCTGAAGCTTACACATAACCCCCTCCATGTTCCAGTCCCCATCCTGTTCCTTACCCACTCCCGTCTCAAATTACTGTTCTTTATCCCTCCCCCAAGCCCCTACCATGTTGGATCTCCTACTCTAGGCTAAAGGAATCACCACCAATAGATTGGAGTTTGGGGAGTCTATGATCTCACTGTTAAGGGAAAAGTTTTTTCTGACTTCCCAGATTGGAACTCTAAACACAGCTCCCCCTAGGTTCAGTCAGTAACAGGCGTTTATTGAGTGCCCACTACATGCCTGACAAGGTGCTAGGTGTACAAATATAAATAAAAAACAAAACTGACTCCCAAGGAGTTTATGTTCTAATAGGAGAGACATGTACATATATGAATATATACAGAATGAAAAGAAGGTAATTAAGTATAAGGTAGTTTAGGATGGCAAACACTAGTAATTGGGGGATCAGAAAATGCTTCATGATATTGGTGCTTGAGCTGTAGCTTGAAGGAAGAAAGGGTTTCTATGAGGTGTAAGTGAGAAGGAAGGACATACTAGGCATGGGGGATAGCAAGTACAGAGGGACAGACAGGAGACAGAAACACAAGGGACAGAAAGGAGGAGGCCAGTTTGACTGAATCACAGAGGAAGGAAAGGGGAGTGATACACAGTGAGGCTGGAAAGGCAGGCTGGGGCCAGGTTGTGAAAGGCTTTAAAAAGCTAAACACAGAGGTATACGTTGTCCCAGAGGCAATAGAGTCATAAAGCATTATCATATTTGGTTATATGAGGTTCTGTAGTATTGTAAATGCAGTACACTCCAAGAACACTGTCAATTAAATAGACCTCCCTTGGCTAACCTGGGAACCCCGCCCTCCTTATACTGTTTCTATGGGAAAATGCCCCCAACCACATTATAAACAGGCTTTTAGAGTATGATCCATGTTTTAGTTGAAAACTTTATATTCAGTCAGGCTCTAGATAACTATCTGGAATGCTGTAGAAAGGATTGTTGTAATGGGTTGAACTAGATGATTTCTATAGGGCCTTTCATTTGAAAAAGGGACCTTTCAGCTAAAGAAATTCTGTAGTTTACTCAAGTCTGGATATCAAGGTTCTGATCCTTGTTACCAAATTTCATTTCTATCCTGAAGGCTTTTTTTTAGGACTGATTGCTTCAAAGTGAAAACAACATAGTAAGCAACCATGGTTTTTTCCCTCCAAGTCTGATGGATAACAAGAAATGTCATTTAAAAAGCTCTTTGTTTAACTTCACTCTCATTGACTTCAGTTAGTCACCAAGTCCTTAGTGACTAAATAAAAAGAATGAATTGTCACTCTTTGGGATATAAAAGCAATACACTGATACCTCCATTAAGGAATCTTGTGGGAACAAAGCTCCATTATAATGAATTCATTTGAGGCAGAGCAAGCATTCTTAGCTACTTATGATAAAAGTACCTCAGTAAACTGATTCTCCGCTAACCCTAGATAAAGTTGTGAAACCTCCCCTTTTGTTCCCATAGTGGGAACCCCTTCTTCACTCTTCCAATTTTAGTTCTTTATGCTCACTCCATTCTTGCTGTCAAAACAGGGAAGGATATGATATCAATCATATATAACCTTTTGTTGACCATACTTACGTATAAATAGACTTAGGTGTTTCTTCCACTAGTATCTACACTTAAAGCTTGATATCTTTAACTGTGAGAGAAATTTTCAAAATCAGTAAGCAGGTGGGAATAAATTTTGTGGGACACAGAGGCCCCAAATCATCTGTGGTCTTGCTCTCTTCAATTACCTCCTTCCCCCCTCCCCAGTTCCTTGAGGTGGACTAGCTGAGGCAGTGTAGCTGCTGTGGATAAGGGGAATCTCTGGTTTCATCTAGGGTCCAGAACTCACTCTGTCCTAGGAAAGGCACCCTAACAGACTTCTTCCCCCAAACCCTCTGTCCCAAGACTCCCAGTTGTGTATTCCAGCACATTCAGTGTTCTGTTTGTTAGTAGCAAATACTTCCATCCCATAGTCCCCCATAGACAGCGTCCACATACCTGTGGTAATGAAGTTTCTGACCTTTAAAAAAAAAAGTATCTTTGTAATTCATTGTCTTTGTCATTAGAAATATACCTATGTAAAATATATTTCACTGTAGGAATTTTAATCTAGTTGTGGAGACACATGGAAAAAATTAGCCCAATAATAGAAGAGAGGACATAACAGTAATTAAGTGCTAGATTGTGTGCTATAAAGGGACAGTTGATAGACTCCAAAATAGGTAGGAAGGCATCAAAGAAGACAGGATTTGATCTGAGTCTTAAAGAATGATTAACTTTCAGATGAGAAAGGAGAGGGAAGACAAAGGCAAGTGTAAGCTGTACTAGTTAACAGGTTAGTTTCTTTCCTTAGTCAAATTTGGGCTGGAGATGTGGTACTGATTATGACTTTCTGGCTTTGGTGACTGATTTTCCTATTTGTTTTGTTTGATCTTTTTGCAGTACACAGGATAGCAATCGGGGAGTAGTACTATTATATTATTGTTACTGTGACGTAGAGGATCCAGAATGGCTTTGTGCTTGGCAGAAAGCTTTGTGCCAACACCTGCACCTCACAGGAAAGGTAAGGTCTTATCCAGATGACATTTTCCTACATTTTTTCTTTGGTGTAATCATTATAAGGGCAATCCCCACTTAAAGAAAGCCTCGTGAACAAAGTTTAACATATTATTCATTAGTGCAAAAGAATTCATTATGTAGTTTGTTAACTATTGAAATCCTAGTGTTCATTTAAAGTACAACTTAGTTTTATAAAACCTTGGTTTATGTACAGCCTTTCAAGAACACCTACTATGGAAAGTGAAACTCACATATATTTTCTGTGTCACTGCCCCAGTAACACTAGTGGTAGGGAATTTCAACTCATCTTTTGCTATCTAATAAGACTAATGGCATTTTGTGTCAGCATTTTTTAAAGAAAAAGGTGTTTTTAAGAAATGGGTCCATTACTTAATTTCTCACTGGACAGACAGTGAAGCATGATGGAAGAGTGTGGATTTGGAGTCTAAAGGCCTGGGTTCTAAAACTGCCTCTGCTACCTCCTAGTGACACTGAACAAGTTGCTTGACCCTTCTGGACTGAAATGTCCTACAATGAGGGCTTTGAACTAGATGGGCTCTGAGGTCCATGGGGTAGATGAGTACAGCCCTCAATCTGAGGCTGTGGGCTTTGTCTCCCCGGCCATTGCCTTCAAGCAGCTGATAAAATTTCACTTCACTTTGTGCCTCCATAGTTTTTTTGTGAGGAAACCACTTTGTTAACTATAAAGTGCTACATAAATGTGAACCATTATTGTATAAATATACTCTAGAGGCAGTGTGATACAGGAGAAAGAGTGCTGGATTTCTAAGGTATGGTGGCATACCCCTGTAAATCCCTGTTCTGAGAGAGGCTGGTGTTCAAACCAAGACAGGCACCAATGTGATGAGCTCTCAGGATGCCTGAGGATGGTGAACTGGCCCAAGCTGAAAATGAAGCACATTAAGGCTTCTGTATCAGTCAGGGAAGGTCGAACTTGTGAGTGGCACCTGAACTTCTAACCTGGGCAAGACAGGGAGATACAGCCTTTTCAAAAACAAAACAAAAGCTTTTTTTTTTTTAAAAAATAGAGAAACGTAGTATGTAGGCAAGGGAGGTGACAGTCCTGCTGTACTACCCTGCCCTAGCTGGACCATCTATGAAATACTGTGTACTGTTCTGCATACTGTGGTTCAGGAAGGCTGTAGATGAACAGCAGAGGAGGGCATTCCAAGACGTGTGATACGAGAAGATGGGGGTGTTGGGGCTAGAGAAAAGAAGACTTGGGCAGAAGAACATGATAGCTATCTCTCCAAGAAATTAAAAGCTGTTACATGAAAGAGAGATTAAATTATGTCTTCTTGACCCCAAAGGGAAAAATTAGGAGCAAGGGATGGAAACCAGATGTAAGTCAAATGTAGGGAAAACTTGCTAAAAATTTGAGCTGCTCTGAAGTGTACTGGGTGAACTCAGGCAGCACTGTGCAGTGGCTTGGATATGGCTAGATGTAATCTCTATAACAGAAATATTAGAGGAGATTCCTATTAAGGTGTAGGTTGAATTAGATGACCTCTAAAGTTCCTTCCAAGTCTGAGATTGTGAATCAACAATTAAGTTAGCTAGAAAATTAAACTTAGGTTAACTGGAAAAATTACCTATCAGAGCAAAGTAACTAAATCAGTTATTAGACCAATTGCCATGTTCATTCAGCTTTCTGCATTGGTACAAGTGGTGAACTGCACAGAGCTAAGCATAGATCCCTGGGACACTTCACTAGGGATCTCCCTCCAAGGTGACAGGTACTGTCTTTTGGTCTGTTCATTTTCCAGCTTTCAGACCTGTCCAACTGTACTATCATCTACCCCACATCTCTTAATTTTGTCCAGAAAGATAGAATGATAAAGAGATTTTGTGGGGCAGCTAGGTGGCACAGTGGATAGAGCACTGGCCCTAGATTTAGGAGGACATGAGTTCAAATGCAGCCTCAGACACATAACACTTATTAGCTGTGTGACCCTGGGCAAGTCACTTAACCCCATTGCCTGGCAAAAACAAAAACAACCCAAAAAAAATTAGAGATTTTGTCAGATCTTTTGCTGAAATCCAAGTTAATTATATTTTTGGCATTCCCCTGATTTGCCTGTGTAGTAACTGTCAGAAAAGGAAATTAATTTAGACAGACAGGACTTCTTCCTGAAAAATCTCTACTGGCTTCTCCTTCTACATGCTTACAAATTGTCCCTTTAAAAACATATTCTATAATTTTTCCAGGGATCAGTCAAGCCCTCCATCCCTGTAATTGTCCTACTAAACTTTTAGAACTTTTAGCTATATGTGTTCAATGATCAGTTATGTGTTTTTAGAAGTGTAACATTTTTTAATTAAGAAACACTTTATCAACCACAAACAGAATAAATACAAAAGTCAATTAATGTAGAAACAAACTGTTTCATCTAAAAATACATAATTGGGAGATGAACCAGTATATCTGTACACAGTTGAAAAAGCACCCACATAGTCTGAAATAGTTCTCAAAAAAAAATTTGTTTCTAAGGGAAAAATTAAATCTTTCTCCAAAATTTCACATAAGTGAGAAGCAAGGTGCTTCAGCAACCTATATGAAAAAACAAGATTTTTTTAAAAGTAAGTTTTAATTGGAAACATTAAAAAAAATCTAGAATTGACTTTTTTTTTTTTTTTTTTTGGTGAGCCAGTCGGGGTTAAGTGACTTGCCCAGAGTCACACATCTAGTAAGTGACATGTGTCTGAGGCCAGATTTGAACTCAGGTCCTCGTGATTCCAAGGCTGGAGCTCTATCCACTGTGCCACCTAGCTGCCCACTGGAATTGATTTTTTAAAAAAAACAGCCAGGCAAAATACATGTTTTGTTAAAGCATCAGATTCAAAGAAGCAGTAACACAAATATAAGTTTCACCTTTCCCCTGAGTCCCTTAGCCTAATGCAATTGGAGGAGAAGCCAAATCAGTTTTGTTTTTTTCCCTTCTCATATCAAAATTGAAGGTTTTCTCGGTTGAAACCACAGAGCAGAATGCTTCATAAGTTCATCCCATTTTTCTACTATTGTTAAAAAAAAGAAGAATTCCTCAGAAGGGAATATTCCAGATAACCGTTTCCTGCTCCTTTGGAGTCACAGCTTTTGCAATTTTTGTCATTTTTCATGGCGATATTTCCACAGTGCATTACCTACTTCCTGGCTTTGTTTGATAGAATATGCAGAATATAATTTAACTTTTCTTGTGTAATTGAGTTAGTGTTATGAAAATCAGTTACTGTAATATGCTGATACAGTACCTTTTCAGGATATTGAGGTTACTGAGGTACTAAGGATCTATGCTTAGCTCTGTGCAGTACCTTATGTACTATATAATATCTTATGTAAGGATAGTACCTTGACTTTTACAGTTTTTCTTTCTTCTCAGTTTAGTTATTGATGCTATATTGTTTTATACACAATTCTAAGTCAGTGTGCCTGAGAGTAGTTGCATTTCGTTGTTTTCCTTGCCAGTGAGAGGCCTTTTTTCTTTACTTCTATGTTAATAACTCTGCCCTTAATAGTTGAGGTAGGTAGTGACCTCCAGTTAAATGAAGTATTACTATTTGGTTTCTTCCACTTTCTAGCAATGGCTTTATCCTATGCCTCTGCCAAAGGACTCTCATAACTCTCTCTAATCTTAGCCAAGTCACTAGCCCCTCTTACGGTTAAGGCCCTCCATTATGACTGGATTTATGGTTTTGCCTGGAATAGTCATAAGGTTTGTATTTGTAGCTCACTGTTCTGCATTGTGCCACACTCCGATTTCATGGGCAGTAGAACTGAGGTTAATCTTTGCCTTTGTTCTGATAACAAATTAATATAGTATCATAACTATTACCTTTCACTAAGTGTAAAGGAACTTAATAGAAGTGATGTCAAATTGACTTCTTGATCTTCATTTTGCCAAACTGGTTTGTGTATATAATCACTTTAAAATGTCAGGGAATGATACCCCTTAAGTTCCAGAATGGAATGAAATGTTTTTTTAAATTCATAGTACATTTGAAAATTCCTACCTGCAAAACTGATTTCAAATTCTCATGAATTTGGACATTATACTATTAGTATTAACAATAACAGTAATAATTTAGATTAGGCTTGAATAGCTACTGTTAGATGGAATTCAGTAATCAGATAACTATCTTAGAATTCTTCCAAAAAGTTTAATAACTGAGTCCCTGACGGACCTTGTTATAAGGCAGTCTCACCTATAAGGTGCTAAAGAAGACATGGACCCTAAGGTACTATTTCAGCAAGACTGTAGCCTTGAATCAGGGAAAAGAAAGAAAGGAACCAAAAGAATGCAGTGAACATAGAATCATTAGAGAGAGGAAAGGTTTGAGTAGGAAATGAAATCCACAAGATGCATTTATATATAGGATTTTCAGATCTTGAATTTCTAGAAACACTACACATAGGAAAGGATCAGAATTCACTTCCATAACCAAACATCCATTCAGTCTAGGTAAAATATTTGTCTGCCCAGGATTTTCAGTGGAAATATAAATATTTCTTCCTTAGCCAAAGAGCACTGTTAGATGTCCCTTAGTATAACATATGGTAGCTCTCTTGAAGGAGTTAATGGTTTAGTGGTTCTGATGCAGAAAATTAACCAAACAATATCCTCTTAGTCTGGTGAGCCCTGATTTTTAACTTTGCCATTTTTTAATATTTTAGGTTCGAATTGCTACAGAAGGAATCAATGGAACAGTGGGTGGGAGCAGATTAGCAACTGATCTTTATATGGAAGCAATGCTTTCTCATCCTTTGTTTAAGAATATCTTATGTAAGGAAGATTTTAAGGTAAGAGCAATGGGAATAAAAATCGCTTCAGCTGTCTTCTTATCTTCTTTAAGTGGTCATTTTCATACTGATATGTAACATTAAAACCTCAATTAACAAGAACCCAGATGATGAGGGACTGGACCTCTGATTTCACTAGAATAAGGAGCTATCTGGTGAGGAACCTTCTCCTACTAACACAGGCCAGTGCCTTCTCTCTAGTTTGTAGACTTAGAGAATTGCCCACAGTCCTAAGTAACTTCTGCAGGGTCATACAACCAGGATGTTTGAGGATGTGAACCCATCCTGACTCTGTAACCACCAGGTCACACTATGCCTCTCAGGAACTTTGAAATAATCAGAATCTTTTGGCATTTTACTTTTAGGGGGGAAAAAAGGCATACAGACAAAATAAGGAGACAGACTAACAGTTGTTTTTTTTTTTAACAGACTTTCTGGGGTGAAGACAGATTCAATCAAAATTTACTACCTTTTATATCTGTAATGTTAAAGAAAATGAATTTCCTCAGGTCAAAATGATGATCCTAAAAGGCAGTAAAATCCTCCAAACACAATTGTGTTTACTGTACTACAGTTACAAAGTCAGAAAAAAAAACTAATGTATTTTAGTAAGATTTTTCCAAAGTTTTCATGCTTTAATTGCACTTTTTCTTTTATTACATAATACTCTTATTACAAGAACATTCCAATTAACTGAATTTTTTTTTACTAGTTTTTATTATTCTTCAGATTTATAAAATACTTTTGTTACCCCTGGTACTGTCAGATTCTGTCCATTTCATTTTTCTTCTGAAATTCTTTAATATCCAAATATCAGTTTCCTCTATAATAGGATACAAATTAACTTTATTTAGTAGGTTGAGGTGGATGAAATTTTAGTATATTAATGAACGGAAACAGAAGCCTTCCATGGAGGAGATGATAGGGACAGCAACATTTTGAGAAGAGGGATTTGGGGATAATCTATTATATGTATAATTTTAGGGCCATCTCTCATCTTTTCTTTCCATGGTTGAAATCAGCTAAGATTTTTCTTCAAAGGTTTTATTCGTTTGTTTTGTTTTTGATTTGTGTTGTTGCTTTCTTCAACACAAGGGTATACATTTGAAAAGCAGACAAATTTTTCTTCCCTTGAATAGGCTAGAGCAGCTTTTCTTAAACTGTGGGTTGCAACTCCATAGGGTCGTGAAAAGTTTGGCAACAATAAAAGGTGTCTGAACGTGCAATGACAAAAAATTAATTAAAAATCAAATGCATAATGATTCCCAGGTATTTCTGGTAGCACTTGCTGGGGTTGCGTGGAGCAGCTTCACTGCAGCCTTGGTTCTGAACACAAAGCAAGCGCACTTTGCACTGAGTGTGCCCTCAGGCCACGCAACGGCAAGGAGTGCTACCAGAACGAAAAGGGGTCACAAGTGGGAAAAGGTTAAGAAACCCTGGGTTGGAACACAAGCAACTACATTTTTTTTTCGTTTTCACCCACTGCAGATTATTTGAAGAAAAAGGAAATGTTAAGAAGTCAGTATAAATCTGATAAACATTCAGTAACAGATAAGACAAGGTGGTGTAACAGAAAGGGCGTTGGAGGGTCAAAGGAATCCAGTTCTGCTGCTGCCTCGCAACGATTCGTATGACTCCTTTCAGGTCTTGAGATTGTATTCTTGCCTTGGACAAATCATTTTGCCTTTCTGGGATTCACCTTCCTCATCTGTACCACACACACACACACACACACACATTCTCTCTCTCTTTTAAAGATACTTGCCAACTCTAATATTCTGTGATTCTAAACTTCACATTCGCTTATTATTAGATATTGGTAACCTTCCTTTGACTCAGTTTCAGTTAAATTTCGTGGTAGCTCTAAATCTTATGATCATCACTTTGAGATAATGTGGTAATGTAGGAGGAGTGTAGTATCTAGTGGTGACATAGACTTTGAGTCGAGGACACCTGGTCAAACCCTTTACCTGGCAGGGCTTAAGTTTCAGCTTGTCCTGGATGACCTCTTTGGCCCATTCCAGCCCTAAAATTATATCTTTTTTTTTTCTAACGGTCCATCTTCTTTGGTATGTGGCACACCCCACTCTTGTCATATTTAAGTAGTGTTCCTTGGAAGCAGAACATCTCTTTCTAACACTTTCTAAGGTCCTGAGGCAATTTAAGGAAAAGTATTTAGTGCAGGGAGACTTGTGATAATTGTAACAAGTTTCACTATAGTGATAGTCTAGGAAGAGAAAGAAAACAGATACATTAGTGCTTCATATCTCATTTCTGCAGGCCATTCACAAGTTTGTTTGTTTTAGTTTTTATTTCAGACTTTCATTTTTGTGTTTAGAAAACCTGTTCCTGAAAAGGTCAGGTTTTCCATGTGTTTGAAATGACTCTGGAATATGCAAGCCACGTTAAGTTTGCATCATATTGTGCTGTACATTAAAATTCCTGTATTTGGTTCTTGTGTTAGGACCAGAATGGGGAAGGTGGCAGTGGAGGGCTGGGAGTTTTGCTCTGAGGAAAGGAAGACTTTGTATTTTTTGTTTTTCATTGGCTAGACCAGCAAAGGAGGAGCTTACTGTTTTCCAGGACTTCGTGTTGGTGTATATGAAGAAATCGTGCCCATGGGAATCAATCCCAGTGTGATCTCCTACAAAAAACCTGGTATGCTTATTTTAGGAAAAATTAAAATGTATTTCTTTATTAGGGTTCAAAACCATATAGAGAAGCAAAATAGAAAGTAAAACTCAGGTCAGTAAGATCTGTAGTGTTTTGTGAATAAAGCAAGCATTTCTTTGTCTTAGATATGGAATGGTCATAGTTTGAGCACATTAGAAACCTGAGCAGGACTGCTTGGTGTTCTAAAGTTTTGGCATTTGAAAAGTGTCCCATAACCTTTTCACCTGGTTATTTCATTCTCACAAGTTAAGTTACTAGCTTTCTAGAGTGGAATAATTCGTGTCCACTGGACAACAGTGCTGTCTTACAGATTCAGTCAAGACTGCAGTTACATACAATATTTTTCCATTATTATTATAGATAACTGAAATATCTATATGTTAATATGTATTATAACACATTATATATTAGAATAATGTTTAGCTATTCAAAATACCACCGACAAAACAAAGAGGAAAATAGGAATTAAACTGTGAATGTCAAGAAAAAGAAAGTAATTATCCAAGCATGCTATCAGCCCAGTGTTATTAATACATGCACCAGCAATGCTAAGAAGAGATTTATCATCGTGTGACCGAGGCAGTATGGCCTAGTAGAAAGTTTACTAGATTTGGAGTGAAGGCACCTGAGTGCTTATTCCAGCTGTACTTATTACCTTAGGTGTCTTGGGCAAATAATTTCCTCTCTCTGGGCCTCCATTTTCTCACATGTACAAAGAGGAAATTGGATTAGATGATCTCCAAGGTTCAAAGTCCTTTTCAACATTAAAATTTTTTGATTCAGACTATATAAAGCAGATCACAGTTAATACACTGTGTTTTAATCTGGGCCAATTTTAGGTAATTTAACTCCTTTTAAAGAATTTTGAATATTCACTGTCAGCTCAATCTTGCAGTCAAGGTCAGTGGAACAGTAGAAGAAACTTACTCTCATTAGGTGGGATCCCTTAGCAAAAACAGTTAACTTGTTAATGCTTTAGAATTTACACTGATCTCTACTTCATTTATTTTATTCTATGTGATATGCTATACATAGTAAGAAACTTTGATCCTTGGGTTCAAGAATGAATAATCTTTGACACTTTGGCTAACATTTTTAGTCCCCTTAGCTATAAAGAGACAGAACATTTTCCAAGGGAAAAAGAATACTTTTTTACCCAATACTCCAAGTTATCTTATTAGGATACCATAATGTGTTCATGGGAGTCCTGATTACCTAGTTTAGCTTTAAGACTTTCCAGATTTTTCCATGTTAGCCCACAGCTCTGTTGCTATGCATTAAGATATTCCACTGAGCTCAGTGATTCCCTTTGTGATATGTTGATATTACTTAATAAGGAATAGGCATAGTTAAGAGTCTTTTCTGCATACTAATTTTCAAGTAAACTCTCATTTTGTGCAAATTATGCCCTTGTTCCACCTGTGACTTAGAATTAGACCATTCAGAGTTAAAACAAGTTAAAGCTTTTCATAAAGCATATAACTTTTTCTGCCTTCTCTCTCTCTTGGTAATAGCAGTATCATGTTATGACTACCCTATGTAGGTAGGGTACATGGTTAGAATGGAAGTTTATGGTCAGATGGATATGTATTTCATGCTATGCTGTCTTAGATCCCTTGATGTTAAGCCAAATACATGTGGCAAAATTCTGAAAGTAATAACTCCTGAATTTTCTTTCATTTGGTAGGCCAGATTCTCCGTAGGGATTTCACAAAAAGAAACCCAGAGTAGAGAGGTTATAGATATCTTGCAGTCTAATACTGTGAAATTGTCATTATAAAAACAACTATTTTACCAACTTAATTGTAATTTGTGAACATGAGAGATTTGGGTGGAGAGGACCACTTAAAATAGTTTTGTCCTGGCTCTCCAAGATTATTTTAAAATGTCTTTAAAGTACTTTTGGTTTGATTTTAGGAATCCATTTATCCCCTGGTGAATTTCATAAAGAAGTTGAAAATTATTTATATCAGGGTAATCAAGAGCAAAATGACACTATTCTGCTGGACTGCAGGAACTTTTATGAAAGTAAAATAGTAAGTTCATTTTGGGTTAGATCCTTGTTTAGGTTCAATAAAATGATTTCATGCTTTCCATAACACTCAATGATGTCAAAGAACAAAGAAGCCCACTTGTGTGAACCACATAAGAGAATCACTATTTATTTTTCTTGGCACCTGATTTCTAACAAAGTCAATATCCTGACAGTATTTGCAGTTTCAAAGAAACTATAACATCTTGAACTCGGGATTTATCATGAAATAGAAAAAAACATGTGACTTTGAAACATCTTAACTACTATTAGAGTTGTTTCTCTTGTAAGCATATTCTTGTAATTTATGACTGATTTAGGATCTCATAAATTTTTCTTTGTGAAAACTCCACAGTTCTTCTCTCCTTTTATGTGTTTCAGAAAAGGGGGAATGTTTGGACTCACCTACCTTCATTTATCAACTCAGAATCTTTGAAATGAGTTTTTCCTAAGCAGTAGGTGGTAAATCAAAGCCTGCAATTTTAAGAAAGATATACTGTCAAATACAAATGCTTCTTTGTGAAGGCTGAGGTTGTTCAAGGAATGAAGCCGTGTTTTTCTGATAACTCCTATTTCCCTACCACCTGTTGTTCACTGCTTTCAGCAACTGTATTGTAATCACGTGACAATCATTTAATATTTCAGGGCCGTTTCCAGAAATGCCTGGCACCAGACATCAGGAAATTCAGTTATTTTCCCAGTTATGTGGACAAAAACCTGAAACTTTTTAAGGACAAGCGTGTGCTGATGTACTGTACTGGCGGCATTCGTTGTGAAAGGGGTTCAGCCTACCTTAAAGCTAAGGTAAGCTCTCTTCCATCGAATGTGCAGCAGGTAGGAATAGAGAAGACCTCAGGAGCAAAATATGCAGTCTTCTCTACGGGATTAATTAGTTCATAAGGGTGTCTGTGAGTTTCCTGTATGAACTATTGGTTTTTCATATGAGATAAAATCAAGGTTCCTGAAAATTGCAAGAAATGCTGAGTCTTCAGCAGTGACATCTAAAAGAAAAGATGGAAAAGTTAACCCTTTCCCTATCCCAGGAGGGGGAATATAGTGAAATGTAAGGAACATTAACCTAGAAGCCCAAGTACCTGGTCCTAGTTCTAGCAATAATTAAACTGTGTGGTCTTGTTCTGGATGCTTAATTTTCTCTAGGCCAATAAAAACAAGTGGTTGGATTAAATATTCTTTGAGGTCCCTTCTGACTAACATTCTGTGGTTCTAAGACACTACCTCCCTCAGTCTGGGAATGAGTGTGCTAAGTATAGAATGTGCACATAAAGCCATACCAGAGGAAAATGACTTTCAGTAACATCATAATGTCAAATATTCCTTTAAACTGACTAGTAAATAGGATAGCTTAAGTCTTGCTAACAGAAGAATGCCATGAAGGAATAATGGGAGAGTGGAAGGAATAGGGGACTGAGGTTCAGAAGTTTTGGGTTCTTGTCCTGGCTTTGCTACTAACTATCTCTTTGACTACAAGCAAATGACTTTGCCACTCTAGACCTTGGCTTCATAGTTAAACTATCTAACAAAACTTTTACTGACATTTTCTAATATCATGTTAACTTTTAAAATACAGGGAGTATGCAAAGAAGTATACCAGCTGAAGGGTGGCATCCACAAATACCTAGAAGAGTTTCCTGATGGTTTTTATAGAGGAAAATTATTTGTTTTTGATGAACGCTATGCTCTCTCTTACAACAATGACATCGTTTCAAGTAGGTCATTCACTTCTCTACAAAGTTCCAAGTTAGGGTGTTACATACTTTCTACTAGTCAACATAAAGAAGAAGATGAACAGAAACAGTGTGGTCTAATCCTCTGGACAGGGAGTCAGGAGACTTGGGTTCTACTGACCTCTGCTTCTGTGTGGGAGAGCGTGGACAACTAATTTAACCTCTATAGGCTTTAGTTTTCTCATCAGTAAAATGAAAGAATTGTGCTCGATCATCTCTGAGGCCCTGCAATTAAGCTGTGTGATAACACAGTCCTGAAAACTATCCAAAGCTTGTGGCAGCTCTAAAACACTGCCTTTCAGGAGATGAATTTCTGATGTTAATCTTCATTTAATTCAAAGGGCACATTATCAAACCTGAAAACAAAGCCTTTTGGCTAGTCTGTCCATTTTAACAGAAATGAATTTTTGGCTCAAGAAAACATCTCATTGTCCAAAGGCAGAAGTTTCTCCATTTCCCAGCAATCTTATTTAGCAAAAATTCCTAAACCATGAAAGATAAAGCTTTCTTATTGAATGAAGCCAATATTAATTTAGTGTTTACTGTATGCAGCAGACTCCTCATTCTGTGGAAAACAATGGGCACAGCCCCTGCCCTTTTAGGATCTTACTCAAGGGGGACAGCATCGAAGGGCATTCCAGATTGGCTAAAATGAAAAGTTCAAGGGCTCAGGGATAAGTGTGAATACATCATATGCAAGAAGCCATAGTTTTGGCAGCAGTGAAATTCAGATGAGTGGGAGGTAGAGAAGGGTGGTCATTAAGCAGGCTTTAAAAATATATGGTAATTATGAATTTCACTCAAGAGGCAAAAGGAGCCACTGTAAGTTTCTGATGAAGCTGGTGATATGATACAAATTAGGAATGTAGTTCCTATCTTTTTGTGTACCATTGCTTAGGAAGGGATATGTTAAAGGCATTCAGGTTAGGAAGCTTGGAACAGGAGTCTAATATGACTCCTTCAAGTTATATGGGATATGAATGGATGTTTAGGGCATGGGCCCTAAATAAGGGAGGTAAATCAGAGGGGATGAATCTAAGTCACACTGCAAAGGAAATGTTGGTAGAGTGTGGGTGAACAATTGGGCAGGGTAGTGAGGAGCAAAAGGTGCCCAAGATGGCCCGTCTGGAGGACTGACAAAGAACAGCTTGATCTTCACAGTGATATTTAGACAGAGCAGTGGGTTTGAGGGGAAGATCATAAGCCTAAAGGCAGTGGTCAGTGAATATCCATGTGTCCAAGAGAGAGGGAGAGAGCGTGCCCTGGAAAAGAGGAGTGATTGTCCTTGTATGTGCAGATAGAAAGACGAGTGACTCAGGGTGGGAGGCAGCAGTGGGGGGCTCACCTTCAGAGAAGCTGGGTGGCCAATTGTTGGCTCTGTCCTCAAGGGGATTGATTCCCGTTCAGGTATGGGCTGGCCTTAAATGGCCTTTGAGGCCCCTTCTGGCTCTAAATCAGTGACCCTATGATTTGAAATTCTGTGGCCTGGAATGGCCAAAAGAGAAAAGGTGACCACGGAGGAAGTGAAAAAAGCAAATACAAAATGCTCTGCCTGGCATTGAGTCCTTCATAACCTAGCCCCCTCCTACCTTTGCATTCTTCTTACCCCATATGCTCTGCTGTGTACTCTTTGATCCAGTGATTAAAAAAAAAATAGTAGTAACACATAGCATACCCGTTTGAGAAATCTGGATGTAAAAGGAAAGTGAGCTAAGACCTGTTTCTTTTCTGTGGTACCTTTTGGAAAAAGGATAGAATTCAGGAAGCAAAAGGACAAAGCTGAGAAACAGAAGATCTCTCTTAAAAGATGAGAGACTTCAGCATTCAGTGGACACAAACAGTGCATTCATTAGGTTGTATTTTGTGTAGTTTTGGGGAGAGATAAAAGGGTACTGCTTTGCATGTTTAACACCTGCTTTTCTTCCCTTCCCAGAATGTACCTATTGTGGAGCCCAGTGGGACCAGTATAAACTATGTTCTACCTCACGTTGCCGTCAACTCGTCTTGTCCTGTTCAGAATGCCAAGACAAAGGGTTTACAGCATGTTGTCTCACTTGCCAGGGTAAAGGAGCCAAGCTAATTTCAAGTCCCACTGAGAAGAGTTTTAAAGAAGAATGTGATTGTACACTGAAAAGGCCTCGTATACCAGTTGAACTTTCACAGTAATTAGGACTTACTGGATGGTGTAAATAGGCAAGTTACCAACTTTAGTGCAGTTATGCCACTGCTTATGTTAAGCATATCATCAACATTTTCCGTATGTGATTCACAGTGTCAATTATGAGTGTCAGGGTTATAGACCCACCTCTCAGAGAAGGTCATGAAGGCACAGTAGAGTAATGGTGTGTGTACAGTAGGCTGTTAGACACAACAAGAGAGTTGTGTCCCACTTGCGACTTATATCACATCATCTTTGGATTGGATTTAAGACTGGTGGGAATGAGGGAGCAGTGCTGATATAATTAGGCTAAGGTCTTATCTGACCATTTGGAGACAGAAAGGGCTGAAATTGATGTGTGGGAAGCATAGTGATATCACTTGGCCAAGATGAAGCGCATCAGGAGCATGTCTTTGACAGTCCTGCAGTAAAGGAATGTGCTTTCTCCATAGAACTGAAAGCACACAATATGCAGGCCTCTATTGTTACTCTCTTAAAATTGTAGCAAAGTCAACATGTAATTTCAATCTTATGAATTTAATGAACAATGACAAATATTTATTTAAAAATGTTCTAAGAAATTTTTTGCCATTTTAGTTTCACAAACTAGAGCTGTGAGAATGTCCTAGAAGTATGTCATTTGCATTTGCAATTTGGGGTCTCAAACTACCACTTTGAGAATGTTCAGTCAGTACATCAGCTTTGGCTTTTTACATTGGATCCTTGCTAACCTGATAGCTTGGTAAAGGTAAAACAAATACTTCTGCTGCTGTTACTGTCATCACTGCTGCTAACTTTTTAGAAATAAGAAACCTTTAGGATCTGGCCTGCAAATTCCATTCTTCTTAGTCATTTCTTCTTCTACCATAAGCTCCCAGATATTTCCTTTACTTTGTAGAAACATCTCAAGATAGAAAGCCGTGGTGGAACTACTGTAGCATGAGATGGGGGGGTAAGAAGGTAGTTCTCTGACCATACAAAGTATTCCTCAAACTGTAGTGTACTGTGTAATTTGTACAGCCTGAGGGCAGTTCCTTGGGCTGAAAGGTTTGCCTGACTATTTTCTACCTGGAAAATAAGGCAGGGTTCAAATCACTGACACTAGCATTATGAGTTTGATATTTAACTCCTGGGCTCTGTGTTTCTCCTCAGCAACTCTTAGAATATTCCACCCCTAATGAATGTACAGCAGTGGGCATGTAAGATTTGATTTACATTATTTCATGGTATTTTCAGGAACATATATCTATTATATTAACTTTAATTGCTATTGAAATGCACTTGCAAAATCGTCTTCAATTAGTAATTCCTGGCATATTCATTACTGTAAATTTTGGAAAATTTATAGGTAACAAAAGGAATAAGTGCCCTATTCTAGTATAACAGGAAAATTGCCCATGTGACTAAATCTTTTCATGCCCAAGCAACACCTTGAGGGATTAGTTTCCATTCTATTAGCTCTGCTGCGGTAAGCCTAAATCGTATAAAACTAAATAATTTGCATTTATATAAAGTTCAGTATTATCTTAGAATCTCAAACCATGGCATGCACATAGTTGGTACTCACTAACTGGATTGATAGTGAGTAACAGAAGGAATTAACCATTTGGAACCCCTTGCCTCCAACCAGACTACAAAGACTGCTTTTCAAGGACTGAGATAAGAAATATACTTAGGGATATCATTTGGTCATTTTAATATTGAAATGCCACCCTGCTTGAAGTAAGTAGTGGCACGTGGCCTTCAGTGAAGAAGTCCAGTTCGGAATTTTAAAGATACTCAGCAAGTTGTAGGAGTAGAACCAAGCTGGCATTTCTACCCTTGCTAACCTATAAAATTAACTAAAAGTATCCAGTTTTTCTGCTTTATATGTAGCAGTCCTTTTGTGCTAGTTGTTAGACCAGAATTCCAGAGAGTCATAAATCCATAATCACGTGGAAGACTTTATTACTTAGAAAATTATTTTAATAACTATAGTTTTCAGTATCGATATACTTTGCTTTACATATTTTTGTGTTCCTCTTCTAGTCCCTTTGGGGCCTTAAACAAGGCCTTGCAGTAGAATTAGGCCTCAGCTCTCTTACAGAAAGTAGTTGGCCTTTATTTGGCCCCATGGAGACCCTGAAGACTGGAAGCCAGAGCAACACTAGGGCAGCACCCACACCTGAGCCATAGGAGCAGATGGCTCCTCCAAAACAGGATGAGGACATAGCTGGAGGTGTCACTAAATCCTTAGAGGTGATGGTCTTCAAGCCATGGCAGCGAAGGGGAGTTAGTGATGACGTATCACCATTCGTCTTGGCTGTTGTCACTTCATACATCAGGGTTACAGATATGAGGAAGGTGTTTTAAAGATACAGGCAGGGTCTCACCTTATTAACTTTCCACCTTGGATCACAGGCAGGAAAGTTTCCAACATGGAAGGTGCTGGACATGGGGGTGGGCTAGGGAGTTCCAGGCAAGAGGAACAGGCCTAATGCAGAAGCAGCTACTGGGATAATAGGTAGGCTGCCAAAAAAACAAAACTCTGCTGGACTGAAAGTATGTGAATCAAATTTGTGTAAATTGACTTCTGTTTTAATACAGTAGGGGAGCTTCTTATATAAACAAGCTGTAGTGAATCATTTAGTAAAGCAGAGAGTCGTTCTGTAAGGTTAAAATCACTCCAAAGTGTATCTGTTTGATAAATGTATGATTTTTGTATGATATTATGAGACTCTACAAGTGAGATGTTCCTATATATTAATCAAAACAACCATTGTCTCTGATTAGAGGTAGGTAAGCCTTATAAATAAGTTCGAGATCTTAAGGTTCTTCTCTGGTACTTCTCTGACTTGTCAACAAAACAAGTAAATATATGCTTGATATTGATAGTAATAATTTGTATTTATCTGGTGGTGTGCACTTTTTGGAGCATTTCCATACGTCTTTTGAACCTCAAAACCAACCTGAGGTAAGTAGGACATTTAGTATTATCCTCATTTTATAGGTGAGGAAACTGAGGTACAGAGAGGGGTGAAATGTTTGCCCGGGGTTACCCAATAAATTAGTGGCAGCGCCTTGGGTCTTCTGAGTCCTAAGCCTAAGCCAGTGTTCTTTCTGTGACCTCTGCCCCTTCCCATGGAAGGGACAACACGCAAGTCCAACTCTGATCTTTTCAACTATGTCTATCCACCTAGAAAGTCATAACGGGTGCCACATTACCATCTTAGGATGTAAAAAATAGTAAATGTGTCTCCTCTCTTGCTTAGCTTCCAAGTCTACATGAAATTTGAAAGCACATGAGTGGCAGCTAATACTCTGATGTTACAATTGATGTCTCAAAGAATCTATGTATTATATATAGCAGAAAGATCACTGGATAGGGGTCTCATAGACTGGGATTCAGGTTCCAGTTTTGTAATAATACTGCATAATCTTAAGCAACCCATTTCCCTTTCCTAGGCCTTGGTCTCCTCTTCTGTAAAATGAGGAGATTGGACTAAATAATCTCTAAGTCCCTTCCTGCTTTGCTACTTTGCGAGCTGTAAAGACATGATAGAGCCCTAACCGAGTGGGGATATGGATGATTTTGGGTGGTGCAGGATAATGTTAACTGCAGCCTTTGCACAATGTTAGTTCTGTGGTAGAATCTTGCATGAACTGTTCAAGAACTCAAGAAATTGGGTATCTTTGCAGAGTATGTAAACACAACTTGCATTTTAAGGGAGTTTGTTGAGAAGTTTCAGATTGGCTGTATATTCTTTTCCTCAAATTTTGTTCCAAAAGACAAATGCCAAGACTTATTTCGTGGACAGAGTCCTCCACAACACACAGAACAATCGTAAGACCAACTGATTTAATGTTACATTGTAGCTTACAGTGATTCAGAGTGGTTTCAACAATTCCCTGCAGAATGGTGCTCTTTCTGGGCCGTGTTTTGAGGCTCAATATACATTCTTCCCATAACGATAATACTCTGACTCCATCTATTATGACCTTGTACTATAGATAAATTAATACAAATATATATAAATATATAAAGTATTTTTCTTCAAAAGCCACTGAAACAAAAATAACCCCTCCATTTTCTCAGAATTCTGTAAGCCATTCTGAACTCTTCAGCTTTTTTTGGCATGCTCTTATCTTAAGAGTTACTAAATCACAAATTGTAAGTCTTTCCAAAGGCAATAAAAATATTAGTTTAGTTGGCACTATGGCATATTAAAAGGCACAAGGTCTTTTGGGCTTTGCATTATTTCTATCAGATGGGACTAGGAGGTTTAAGAACCATTTTTGCTTGATCCCTAGAGATGCACAATGTGACAAAACCAGCAGACATTCAGAAATGTTGTTCCCAGTTAGCCCACATGTTGTTATATAGTTTAGCTAGGTTCTTCTTGTTTTCCATTTTTTACATATCTAGACCTAAAGGATGGTATTGTCTTTCAAAATTTAACTTTATACCTGGAATCAGATCAAGTGGTCATTGTTTAGATAAAGAAAAGGTTAGATGTGGGTTGTCTATAAGCTTTCCTACCATAATAACAAATATAAAATCTGTGGATGTTTATCCCTAGGTTGTCTATCATATCATTCCACTTTTTGTTTATCCATCTAGCCTTCAGTGTTACATAATGTAAAGAATATTTTCAAATAGTACTTTATTTGTCTACAGGTTTTCCTCTCTATCATAAAACTGACATTTAATAAAGGGGGGAAATCCTTTCTAACTTAAATGTTAATTAGTAAATGCATAAAAGTTGTTTTTATTAAAGAAAAATTAAAGAAGAATTGGGGTTGAGAAATAAAGCGGCAGATTTGGAGACTGAACCTTATAATATGGATTTCCAAAATCACTTCCCAGCACTCAAAAAACCTCTTTGTTTTGTTTTGTGTTTTTCAATAACTGTGACTGCTGTTAAGAATCTGTGGCCTTACCGCTCCTGCCTTTCTAGAGGAATTAGAAACTCTCCATGTTTGTGAGCTCTTCCGCTTGTTGAGTGCAATTCTGAAATTAAATTCTTAAAATTAAAAAGAATCATAACAATGACTATCAAACTGTTATATTTGCTAGAGATTTGAGATCAAGTTTTAAAATAAAGTATTTTATAATGCTTCTAAAATCCGTGGGACAGTTTGCTGTTTGTTCATGCATAACACAACCTAAATGTACCCCAAACACCACCCAGGAAAAGAATATAAACATTATTGTGGAGTTAAATTGCTTTGGTACTATTATGTATTCTTCCATGAAATCAGCAGGTTTTTTAAAAATAACCATCTTGAATTTCTATGACTAAAGAAAACTTCACATTAACCACATTTTGTAAAATCTTCTACTATAACCACTAGTTAACTTAAAAACATTTAGTGCATAAAGATGCAATACAGAACTGAACCACAAAAAATACACTGTGCAGGTGTTTTTGTTTTGTTTTTTCTATAGGTTCTCCCATACAGCACAAACTCTCAGCAGATGTCCTATTTAAAGGCATAGTCTCCAGCTCCACAAACTACACGCCACTTCGGCACTTGGGAATAATGGGCCCAGTCAAGTCTGCCAGCCTCCTCTTCCTCACTGGAAAGGAACAGAAATTAGACACAGATAAGCCACAGGAGTCACTGTGCATGCATGTATACGTTCATGCGGTACAGGCAACAGCTAATCACTTTAACCCTCAGTGTGTTTAACTCTGATAAGCAAAAAAAAGAGTACTTTCTTTTACATTAATGGCCAAAGGTCTTTTTTTTTTTATGGTGCTTAGTGGACTAAGCATCTCTCAGATTTTGTAAAGTTGTTTCAGATGGAGCACTTGTGAAGTGGAGATCTTGTCACAAGTGATTCCTAAACAGATGCCTGTGAAAAGCCTGTCTATAATGTGCCTCTGAATAGCCAGTGTGTCACATGGCCCACAGTACGTGAACAGCCTGTCTAACATGGCCCACAGTGTGTGAATAGCCAGTGTATGACATGGCCCATATTGTGTGAACAGCCAGTGTATGACGTAGCCTATGGTGTGTGAACAACCAGTGTATGACATGACCTACTATGTGTGAACAGCCTGTCTATAACATGGCCCGTGGTGTGTGAACAGCCAGTGTGTGACATGACCTACTGTGTGTGAACAGCCTGTCTAACCTGGCCCATGGTGTGTGAACAGCCAGTGTAAGACATGGCCTATGGTGTGTGAATAGCCAGTGTATGACGTGGCCTATAGTGTGTGAACAGCCAATGTATGACATGACTAAGGTGTGTGAACAGCCAGTCTGTAACATGGTCCATGGTGTGTGAACAGCCCGTGTGTGACATGGCCTAAGGTGTATGTGAACGGCCAATATGTGACATGGCTCACTTCACTACTTCTTCCTCACCTATTGAAGCTACTAAATATCTGAGTTTGAATATCTCTTTATTATAGTAAATATCAACGGATTTCTATTTAATGTCGACCAGGATGTTATTATGGTCAAAACATTCTTAAAATTTCTGAAATCTTGCTATTTTTATTATATTTATATATATGTGTATACATATATATGTATACATACATAGAGAGCATACATATATATGTACATATAAATACAATGTATGTATGTACATATGTGTGTATATACAAAATAGTTGTTAGAATAACAATTAAGCAACATCATTTATTCCTCCATACTATGTAACTTCAAACATTATTCATATTATTTAAAGAAGATAAATGCCATAAATAGGAGGACAGTAGCCAGAAAGGTGCAGAACCAAGACATTAGCTCATGGAATGACCGTCAAAAGCTTTGACTGTAACAGACCTGATTAGATAAAGTATATTTAAGTACCTAAGTGTCTGCAGATGAGTGAGGAGCAGGAAAGATAAAGCCACAAGAAAAAAGGAATATAAACAGATCTGTGTAGAACCAATAGGTGGCAGCAGGAGGCACCGCCTGTGTAGCATAGATTGTAAGCTATTGCCAAACGGGGGAAAAAAATCTGTCTATACTTAGACATCTTCCCGTTCCAGAGTTGAGAGGCTATGCCAGAGACCACCAGATCGATTCATACGAGCTGCAACAAAAACCGAATGAGACAGCTGCTGCTCAATACTTAAAACTTATTAAGTAAGTACCAAAAGCAAAAACCACACAGGTGTGGGTAAACGATGGTAGACCTCGTCCACAGGGCATGCAGGTACTGGAATGCCACGATACATTTGGCTGAGACTGTCTTAATGATGATGGCAATGAAGACGGATCTTTATTAACACAGTGCAAGGCGATAAACTGAGCACTACATAAAAGTTCTGCATGTATATATAAATATATATACACATATATAATATATATATATACACACACACCACCACGTCAAGAAGTTCTTATTCTCAATTCATCGGTCTGCTATAGGGTTTTACTACATGTAAAATAACCTGCTGACAAGATTGTTTAAAAATCTCATATGCAGTGATCTCCTTAAAGAAACTGATTCTAGGTTGTATCAAGGGAGAGGAATCTGTGATAGATAGCCCCCCGCAATAGTTTTTGTTGTGTTTTTTTTTTAAATCTTGACCTTCCCAAACATGAGAGTGGATTGAATTTGCTCTTTATTTGTTTTTTTCACTTTCATGAATACAAGAGGATGTGGTTCAGAATTTTTACTTATCCCTCATTTGGTCTTCATAGCAGATTTAAAGTCTTTGAAACATTTAATATTTGTGTGTGTGTGTGTGTGTGTGTGTGTGTGTGGCGATTGGGGTTAAGTGACTTGCCCAGAGTCACCCAGCTAGTAAGTGTCAAGTGTCTGAGGCCAGATTTGAACTCAGGTCCTCCTGACTCCAGGGCTGGTGTTCTATTCACTGTGCCACCTAACGGCCCCTGAAACATTTAATATTTAATCCATTCCTGTTATCATGGGCTGGTACTAGTCTCCTGACAGACCTATCAGTTGCCACACATTCACCTGAAAGAATCACCTGAAGGAAAGGGATAACAGAAGGTAGAAACTCCATTTCTGTTTATCTCTAAGGATTTATAATCGAATATGAGTATGTAGAACTTTTGGCCACCGCTGTTCTGCAACGGGGTGTAAGAGGATCAAGGAGACCCATAAAAATCATGCCTGGGAGCACTAGTATAAGATAAGTTATTTTTCTCTAGCTATGCAAGTGAAATCTCTCCTTTTCATGCATCTTGCTATATAGATATGAGATATTGGTACTCAGAGAAAAAGCGGTGAGTTATGTCAGATACCTAATAAAGGTTATTATCAACATCAGGACTCAAGTGTGGTCTAGCTCTTAGGGCAAGGATGAAACAGCAACTGAATGATTGTAATTTCTGGAGTTCAGTGGATCTGCCCTCATTATTACATATCACACAAAAAAATGACCTACTCATTGGTATAAAGAAAACTTATATTGGCCCTCATCCAAAGGACTTTGTTATAATGCTCTATACTTCCCAAGGATGTCGTGTGAACAAATATTCAGTATACTTTTTATATTGTTGAGGGAGGTAGGGAATTTTAAGCCAGGCCACACGATCAAATCTTTAACTGAGGTAAAGCAAGAGAACAAGGTGTCACCCTAAGGACAATACAGACAAATTCCTGGGGAATTTCGAAGGTGAAGGTTGGAATGAATAACTAGAAAATAGATAAGGATCATCATGATGCTTCCTGTCCCATTTTTGTGGCATGCAGATAGCTCTGGTCTCTCAAAGACCATAGCAATAAAACATAAGCTTGGTCAAGGTCCTATGAAAGT